AAATACTAAAGGAAGCCCCGGCTCCCGTGACTGAGCCGACTGGGCACCAGCCTGCAAACCAGAGGGTCGGCCAGTTCAACCCCCAGTCGGGGCACGTGCCTGGGTTGCAGGCCAGTTCCCAGCAGGGGTCACACGAGAGGCAACGGTACATTGATGTTTCTCTCCCTCTCCTTCCCTTCCCCTCTAAAGATAAACAAATTTTAAAAATCTTTTAAAAAAAAAGAAATACTAAAGGAATTTCAGACTGAAAGCAAGTGACCCCAGAAAGGAACTGAATCCACATGAAAAACAGCGTCCCAGTGAAAGTGGTTATATGGTTTTAATGATAGTACAAAAGTATATGTTTCACCTCATAGCTGACCGGAAGAGCAATTGTGTAGAACAATGTATCTAGAATGTAACATGGGGGTCTGATCAATAGGAATATAGTAGGTTGTGATATGTCTCCAAGAACAACACAGAAGTGGGTGGAGCAAAGCTGCGTGGATTAAGGAAATGACAGCAGGCGGCAGGGAAATAACGACAGTGCTGTGGGGTTTGTAACATCACCGTTTGTGAAGTGTCTGACTTAACACCACGAGGCGGAGGGAGGCGGACGGCACAGGGCCGGTATCTGTACGTGGCTCTGGTGCGAAGCTGGCACAGATCTGACGCTGGTAGTGATGTTAACGTGTGTGATAAACCCCAGAACGGTCACTGAGAAAGTAACTCAGGAAAAAGGAATCATCGATTAAAATGCTACATTAGAAAAAACACACTTAACATAAAAGAAAGCAACAAAGAGGAACAAAAAGGACAGGAGAAAAATAGAAGGCAAAAATGTAAAGTGGAAGCTGCAGACCGACGATGGCATTAAGTGGGATGGATTCAACAAGACCCTCAAGGGCAGAGACTGTCAAACTGGACCAAAAACAGAATCCAACTTTTAAGTGTTACGAGAGACACTTCAGATTCAAAGGTGGAAAAACACTGTCATGCGAAGACCAGCCACAGAAAACTGGTGTGGCCACACCAGCGTCCGACAAAACATCAACGCAAAGGCCTTACCAAAGAGAAAGAGGGATACTTCGGAACGAGAAAAGGCCAGTCCCTCAGGAAAACACAGCAGGTGGAAACACAGGGGCACCTCATCACAGAGCCCCAACATGCACAAAGCAAAAGCCGAAGGGGAAAATCGGATAGCACCGCGGTAACTCCCTGCTGGAGCCTTCAACGCGCCACTTTGAATAACGGATGCGACGACCAGACTGAATATCCCCGGGAACCAGAGACTTAACCAGCCCTCAGAACAGCCGGACGCCCAGATGGCGCGGAGCACCCAGCCCAACGGCAGAGCCAGTTCCACCCCAGGGCAGGTGGAGCGACCCCGAGATGGGGAGGGGGGGGCGCAAAGGTGGGCTCACAGCTGCTCGTGGGGAAAATAGCACAGTAACTACCGATAATAGAAGAATAAACTTTGTGTGTCCTGGACTCACATGGGTAGGCCTACTTTTGCCCTGTACTGGGCGAAACAAACTCAGGCTGTCCAAGGCCGCCGCACTGGGAGGCGCCCACTGGGAGGTGGGCAAAGACTCATCAGAGATGCAGTAAGGGCGCTGGGAACAGGGGGTGTGGCGGATCGGAAAGAGGCTCTGGTGACCGACGACATCAGCAACTTGTACTGGGTGTGCCCTGTGAATTTTAAAACGCGCAGTGCCTGTTTAGTCAGGGGCACTGAGCTCTTTTCCCCTTAGATGGTTGAATTAAAAAAAAATGACAATAGTCGTCCTATGTGAATGAATCCAAACTACACTATTTTGTCAGACTGGCAGACATACAGTATGTTTCTGGCGTGCTGCAGAATGGAGTATGTGCACCACGAGACGCCTGAGGCTGAAAACCACGGGACCGAGTGGGGGCGTGGGGCAGTAACACACCTCAGTGTCTGTGTGTGTTTATGGGGGGGGGTAACAGGCCCTGGGAGGGCCCCCACTGAGGTCCCCGCATGGCTGCTGCAGGCGTGGAGGCTGAAGGACATCTTCGGCTGCCATGCCCAGTGGTGTGGACTTTCTCCGGATGCCCCAGGCACGTGCTCTGGGACGGAAGCTGGTGCAGGGAGGTCAGGACGAGGTTAGGCCGCCGGAAAGCCATCGGAGGCGGCCCTGGCAAACCACCCACGGAGGGGGCATCGATGCGATGCTGCAGGAGCCAACCACGGTGTAGGACCTCTGAACCCCAAACTCACGGATCGCTAAGAACACCCCAAACTTAAAAGGAACGCCTGAATGTGCGGGCGCAGGCGTATAATCCAGGGGAGTCCTTTCCTCTTCGGCTGCAGCCAAGGCTGTGAGATTTACTTGGTTTGGCTTTTTACGAAATCTCAGCAGTTTACTTCAAAGTAAATGACCTCTGCGTCGTCCTCAGTTTTTAACTTGCTGCTCAGCGCCACACTCTGGCCCAGCGCCCGGGTCCCCCAGCCCAGCCGCAACGCCTCTGTCCAGCCGGTGGGCCCCCTCCCCGCGGGCGGAAGGGCGCCCAGGTGGAACCGTACCGCGGCAAAAGGACCCGGCAGCTCGGAGGGCTCCCAAATGGAGACGTGTCCGAGTGGCCCGCGCCGCGGCTCGGAGTGTGACCCCAGCACAAGCAAGCGTGGACAGTGGGCCCGCAGACGTGTGCGTGGTGTTCCCGAGCGACAAGTGGCAGCTGCACGTGTCACGCTGAGTAACAGCAGGAAAGGGTGGGCCCTGGCCAGGCCCCCGCGCAGCACCGGGGAGAAGGCGGGCAGTGCCCGGGCAGGTGCGCCACGCGGTCCCCTGGGGCTCGCGGGGCAGGAGGCCCGGCTCGCTCTCAGGTCCTCCTGACCCGGCCGGCCGCCCACATCACTGAGGCCCGGTCTCCATAGCAGCTGTGCTGGAACACAAACCCAGCCAACGTGACCGCCCGGCTCTCCAGAAAATGCTGCGCCGGGCGGAACATCCCGCGTGCGCTCCAGGAGAAAGGACTTGGCACCCAAGGGGACTTTGGAAGTGGTAAGCTTCTGGGGTGTCTTCGCCCCAATAATCCACAGAAACAACAGCAATCTAAAAATAGCCTTGTTTTCTGCCCTAAGCTCCTTTTTAACTTCGTTAGTCATCACCCATTCTTAAAATAAAATCCGTGTCACGTCTCTCCTGGTAGCGGCTATAAACACACCTCCCGAGGAAGCCGGAGGCCGGGGCGGCGGGAGGGGCGCGTCGGGGCCGCGGCCGCAGGACAGAGCCCCGGGACCGCGGCGGCCGCAGAACCCGCCGGGGCCGGGGGCGCGCTGGCCGCGGGCTGCGCCGCCGACGCCGGAACTCCCTGCGCCCTGGCGCGCGGCCACCGTGGTCCCGGCAACGGCATTAAACAGAGGGAAACAGACGGGGATTCCGTCACCGGGCGGAGGAATAAGGAGGGCATTGAGCGCAGACAGGAAAGCGCCTTTCTGGACGCGGCGGCACTATTTGTCGAGGGGGAGGGGGCGCCGCGGCGACCAGCGCTGCGGACGCCAGCCCCGCCCCGAGCAGGGCGCCCCCCCCCGCCCCTGAGGGCCCCGCGGGCTCGGGGCCCGGGCCGCCTGCGCGGGTGGGGCCGCGGGAGGGGCGCACGGGTCGGACTCGCCTTTCACTCGACCCGAGGGACCCGCCGCCGCCGCGCCCCCGACACTCGGCGTCCTCCCGGCGCGTCCCGGTGGGGCGCGGGGGGCGAGCGGCCGGCAGAAACTCTCCCCGCAACGTGCCGGCGGGGGGCGGGGCGGGAAACGGAAGCTCGCGGCTGCGCCCCGGCACCCGCGTCTGGGGACACCCGGCCTCGGCGCGGAGCGATCCTGCGAGACGGGCGGGGGCGGGGCGAGGGCGGCGCGGCCCTGGCGCCCCCTGGCGGTCGAGCGTCCGGGGCCGCGCGCTCCTGGCGGGCATCCGGCGTCCTCGCGGGGTCCCCTGCCCCCCGGCCCGCGGGTCCCACGCGGGCGCCCCTGTCCCTGCGCCGGGGGCACCGGCTCAGCCTGAGAGCAGAGGTACAAAAGTGTGACACCCCCCGGACACCCCAGGGACGAAGCGGCTCGGCGGGAGACCCGGGGCGGGAGAGACTTCTGCTCTGCCCGCGGACGCCGCTGGGCCGCCTCCTTTCATCTGCGGCTGCGCCCCCCTTTTCCCCGGGTCCCGGGCCTGGGCAACTGGGGAGTCCACCGGCGCCCCGCAGGCCTCCTGGGCCCGGCAGCAGACGCGTCCTTTCCTGGTGGGTTTATTTTAAGACACGAAGGGTGTCGTGCGGCAGATTTATGGGTTTTGTACACCAGACCGTTTCACCGCCCTAACACTCCAAGCCCTTCCACCCGCGGCCAACGAGAAAACAGGGCCCCGTTTGGCAGCCGAGCTGCGCCGAGGCCGAGAGTTTGAAAGCGGAAAGTGTTACTCGAACTGCGCGTCGGCGCGGGACTCCCGGGGCGGCCCCGCCCGCGGGTCCCAAGTGGAGCCGGGGGCCGGTAGCCGGGGAGGGGCCGCGCAGCTCCCCGGCAACCCCCCCCCCCCACCAAGTCCCGCGCCCGGGATGAGGGCTTGGGTGTTCGCAGTGAGACGGCAGAGTCGAGGTACCGCCGCGAAATCTGTTAGTGATTTGGCGGGGTGGGAATTTCCTTTCTCGGGCCTGCCAGGGGGAGAACTTTTCCAAATTTCCACCGCGGGGAAGCCTGCGATTTCACATAATGACTTCAGCATGCCGCGCTCCGGAGCCCCTCGGCCCTGCGCCCCCACCGCCCGCGTTGGGCGGAGAGCGACTCTCGGGTCCCCGCCGGTCCTGGTCCGGGTGGGTCTGCGCGCCCGGCGCCCCCACGCGCACCCCGGCCTGCTGCCCTTGCGTCCTGGCCCGAGAGGGGCGGCCTCGCGGGGAGGGGCCGGCGCTGGGCACCGGTCCCCGCGCCACGCCGGACAGGCGGGGGCGTGATGTCACGGCAGGGAGGGGGCTCGGGAGCGGCTGGGCGGCGGGAGGCGGGGGAGGTGTTTTCCAGCTTTAAAAAGGCAGCAGGCAGAGCGCGGCCCTGCGTCAGAGCGAGACTTTGAGTCGCCCGAGTCTCCGCGAGGGACCCGCTGCCGGCGTGGGCGCACGCCTCCGACCCCGCCGCCACCCCCCCCGCCCCCGCCACCCCACTCGGGTCCGGCCGCAGCCGTCCCGCCACGCGCGCGCACACGCTCCTCGATGACATTTCTCCGGGGAGCGAGACGCTGAGCCCGGGCAGCGCACGTCCGCTGGGGAGTCTGCCACCCCGGAGCCCGACCCCGGCGGTGCCCGCTCCTCCTCCTGCTCCGCGCCGCCGCGGCCGCGTGGATGCCAAGTACCAGTTTTCCAGCCCCTTCCAAGTTTCCACTCGGCGCTCCGGCTGCAGTCTGCGGGAGAGAAGAAACTTTGTGGCCCGCGCCGCCCGCCGGCGGCACCATGAAGTCGGCGGAGGAAGGTAAGCCGGCGGCCACCGCCCCCCTCGCGGCCCCCCAGCCCTGGCCCCCGCGCCCCCAGCCCCGACCCCACCGCCACCGCCACCGCCGCCGCCTCCCAGGCGGCTGTGCCACCCGCACGCCCCGGGAGGCCGACCCCAGGACGGCCCAGCTGGCCCCCGGCTTATGCGCGCGGGGAGGGGCGCGTGTCCCCAGCGCGCTGCACAGATTGGGAAGCGGTGTCCCCCTGGTGTTTCCCCGGAGAAGCCCTGATTTCGAGCGCGACTTCTTGCCAATAGGTGTCTCCTCTTCTCTAGCGCTGAGTGCGCGCGCTCGGCCTCCGCGGGTGCAGCCCCGCGGTGAATCCCGGTGGTAAAAACTCAGCCCAAACGCGTACGGTTCGGGGACTGGGCGAGTTGGGGCCGTCAGAACCACAGAGGACACTTTGGGAGGAAGTGATGTTTGGGAGAGGACAAGGGATGGCCTGGTTTCTAGCGCTGTGGGGCCGGGCCACCCTGTGGCTTCGAAGACTAGTCAGCGAGAGGTGTGGGGGTCGCGCTGCTCCAGGAGCACTTTCTCCAAGCGCCCGCCCCCAAATCCGCCTCCTCGTCGCTGGTCTCGCGCAGGGCCGGCCGGCAGGAGCTATCAGAAGCTTTGTCCAACGCGGCCCCTGATTCTAGCCATTTTTAATCCGGTGGACACAAGAGTCCCGACCATAGAAAATGTGTCAGGACAGTTTAAAAAGTGACCGCCGGGTTTCCAGCTGCTTGCTTATAGTCACAGGACGGCGTGGTGTGGGCTCTGAAGCCCGACAGCCCACTGCCCTCCTTAGGGCAGTCCCCTTTGTCCCTTATGAGACCCAGCGTGACCAAAGCTCAGGGACCTCCCTCCTGGTGGCTCCCTCAGGTGTCCGGAAGCCCAGGGAGAAGGGTGGCCACCAGCCCCTGGAGGCCTGGAGGCGGCAAGCGACACCTTTCCCCAGGCCCTATCCCACTGAAGCAGTTTCTTCAGATAATTTTAAGAAAGCTGGCAAACCTGCCCATGTGTAATGAGTACTCGCATTTCATAAGGGCGGACATCCTTCTGCAAGAGCTAGAAAGTACAGGCTGCCGTTTCCTGCCCGGCCCGGCCAGTGCCAGGCCCCGGCACGGCAGCTCCCGCAGCCTGCGGCCCCGGCGGCCACCTCCAGCTGCAGCTCGGTCGCCCGCTCAGCAGGGGCCGGGGGCCGGGGTGGGGGGGCCTGCTGCCTCCTGCCAGTGTGCACAGAGCCTGTGTCCAGGAAGACGTAGCCGGCGCCTGTTGCCATTTCATCTCCATTTAGAGAAGGTTAAGATGCGAACGTCAGGAAATATTTACAGAACCAGCTCTTGCTATTAAAAAAGTTTTTTAAATTGTTGAGGTTTTGACTGTCATCCCTTGGGCACTTATTTCAAAGCCCCCCCCCCCCATTTCTTATCACTGTTTCTTGTATAAGCCACGGGCCTTTCAAAGTTCAGATTTTTCTCACTTGGGCCGTCAGGGGTCCCACCTGCAGCGAAGGCTCTCGCCCTGACGAGGGGAACAGTTGTCGGGGCGGCGCTCGGATTTCCTGTGTCTTCTCTGAGAGGCTCTGGAAGGCCTCGGACAGCGGCCGGTGCCCTTTGACTAAACAAACATTGGTGTTGTTGTATGAGGAGGACAGAACGAGGCCAACCAGAACGTGTGACCTAACCCTCCACGCAGACAGGCCGAGGCGGGGACCCCTGTAGGCCGGGGCCCCTGCTGCTGCCGAGGGCTGGGGACGGCCTGCCCTCCTGTCCTAGAGAAAGGCCCTGAGTCTGCCTGTCCCCCACCCGGCCCTCCGGTTTCACAAGCATCTGGGCCGAAGCCCGCCAGGCGCTGGTGTCCTGAGGCCCCGGCCCCAGGCCTCCGCAGGCCGAACTCGGAGAAGTGCAGGCCGGTGGGCAGTGCCCACCCACCGTTCGGAGGTGGCTCCACACGGAACGCCCCCAGGCTCCCAGCACAGAACAAAGCCGCCCTGTTCTCCCGCCTCTTAACTTCTCGGCCTGGTTTCCTAACCCGGAGGAGTGGGGCGCTGGCACCCCACCGTGTCACCCCCAGGCTGGGGCGCTGGCACCCGGGAACACCCGCAGACCAAGGAAGCGCCAAATTAAACATCCCATCCGCTCCGGAGTGTGCTGAATGGGCGAACAGCTCCCCCCTTTCACGAGAGGGAAGTCTTGGGGTGCTGGTAAGAGGAGGATTTTAAAAAGCTGCCCCCTCTGGTCGCCTGGGTTGGGGATCTGAAAGTGGATGGAGCCCAGCTCTGCCTGGAGAAGAGCAGCTGTGGGCCCTGAAGCCTGTAGGCCCCAGGGACCTGGTGGGACCGGGGTGAGCCCACCCCCTGCAGGACGGTGGAGCAGGAAATTTTAGTCTAAACAGATGATCAGGACTGCTAGTCGTGTGTCAGTTTTTTGCGGAGGTGAAAAGGTAGCTGAAGTTGAAAAAAAAGAAAACACCGAAAAGAGAAAAAATGAGATGTTCCCTTCTCAACAGGACACAGAACTTCCATTTGCTTGAAGGTCAGCAGAAAAAGCAAACTAAAACAAAACAACCCTCCAACATACATCGCAAAGTGAGAACTATTATTAGAAACCAAATCAGGCCAAAGCGAAGTATAGTTTATGGCTGGAGAAAGCCAGCCCTTTGCAAAGGGTCACGGGAGACACACGTTGGGGGGGTGCGGGAGGGGTCACGTGACTAGCGGGGGTCTCATCTTCTGGGAAAAAGCAATGGGGAGGCGGGGGGGGGGCGCAGAGGGCGGGAGGGGCGGAGAGGTGGGCGATTAGCAACAGAATTGCGGACGGGACCTGACACCGCTCCTTCTCTCCCCCGACTCCCCCGGCGCGTGCCCCCTGCTCGGTGGCCTGGGCCACCACCTCCGGCTGGTCCAGATGCTGGCTCTCCGTGGGGCCAGGACGCCGGGGGCAGTGAGCACAAGCAGCTGGAGGGAGACCGAGGGCGACCGCCCGCCGCCCGGGCCTGGCCCGCTGTACCGGGTGCCGGCGGTAGGCGCTGCTCTGCGGGTTCAAGCCCCGGCCCCTCCCCCGCCCCCCGCTGCTGCAGAGAGGGGGCTGTTCTGCGCGCACAGGAGCGGGCAGTGCTCTTAGGAGGTTGGGGTCTGCAGGGAGGTGTGACCGGAGAGGAGAGGCGCCCCAGAGGCTCGGGCCTGGGAGTCAGACGCCACCACCGGAGGCGAGGAGCCCGCGGGGCCGGCGCACGCAGGAGAGCGCCCCTGCCCCGCACTGCGTTCGGTGGCGTCCTGGGGCTCGGGGCGGCGGTGGGTGGCGCTGGGGGTCCAGCCGGGTGGGTCCGGCCTCGCGGGACGCGCCGCCTCTCTCCTCCCCGGATAGGAGGGCGGGTGGTGCTCGCGCTCCAACAGTCGCAAAGCCGCAGACCGTCAGCGAGCTTGGGGACAGCGTCCCGTCTCTTCCGCACGGTCGCCGCTCTCCGCGCCCCTCGATGTCACGGAGGAGCCGTGGGAGCCGCGGGAGGAGCCGCGTACCCCGCACACTCTGGGGGTCTCGCCCGCGGGTGGGCCGCCGGGGCGGGGGCGCGAGTGACAGGCGTGCGCTCGGGCCCCGGAGTTTATTTAAAACTCGGGACGCAGCCGCGGAGTCTTGTTTGTGTGAACCCGGAAACGCGGGGGAGGGGCCGGAGCGCGGGCGGGGGAGGGGCGGCCGGAGTCACGTTACCGGGACGGGCCCGGCGCAGGGCGCAGCGAGCCGGGCGGCGACCACAGGTGCCCTCGGCGGGGACCCTGCCGAGCCCCGCCGCCCCCCGCAGTCGGGCCGCAGACCCAACCCCGGCCCTGACCCTGGACCTCCGACCCTGGCAGTGACCCCCGATCCCGGACCGGCTTGGATCCTGGACCCCGATCCCAGATCCTGGACCCCGACCCTGGACTCCCGACCGGCCCCTCGTCATGACGGGGCCGGAGGACCAGGAGTTCGACTTTGATTTCCTTTTCGAATTTAACCAGAGCAACGAGGGCGTCCCTGGCGCGGCCCCAGGTGGGTCCCCGCGCGCGCGGGGGTCAGAGGTGCAGAGGTCCCGGTGAAGGGGGGGGGGCGCACTGTCCCGGGGTGCAGGGTCCTGAGGTGCAGACCAGGGTGCAGGGGCCAGAGGCACAGTGTCCAGGGCTGCAGATCCCTCTGGTACAGGAGTCCTGGGTGGAGGGACCAGGGGTTGGCACGGAGGAGGGTAGGAGGAGCCAGCCTGGGCCCCAAGCAGCCCCTCCCCTTCTCTCTACCCAGGAACACCCCTAGGGGTGCCCCCTGGCCCCACCCCCACCCGGGTCCCATGCCCAGCACCCTAGCGCAGCAGGAGAAAGCAGGTCAAGTTCAGTGGCTAGTGGGTGGGGAAGCCCCTGTGAGGCCCTCAGTGCCACCACTTGGGTTCTGGCTTCTGAGCGTCAGGCCCCCAGACAGTGGTCACACTTGTTCATGTCCTGTGTGGGGCCTCTGGCTCCAGGCGGCCACTGTCCTGCTCCGGCCAGGGGGCAGGACTTGAACAGAGCCTGAGGACAGGTGGTGAGTGGCCACTGCCAGAGGCCAGGGGAGCTGGGGCATCCCCCCATCAGTCTGGACCCGGCCCTGTGGCTCAGGCTTCCAGCTCCCCCCCTTCCCTGCCCCTCAGAACAAAGTTAAAGTGGAAGTAGCTCAACCTGGGGTGTGGGGGCAGGGCCTTTCCTTTCTTTCATTTTCTCTGTCAAAATAAAGGGGCCCTGCCCCCTCCTCACTCCAGAGCAGAAGCTCATGAGTAAGAATAGAGCTGCTGAGAAACCCCAGCCAGTCTGCCTGGGGCGGGGGCGGGGGTGGGGGCGGGGGTGGGGGGAGGTGCCAGGGGCCCCTGCTGTCCCTGCTTTCTGTGGGTCTTCAGGGTGCCGCTCCCTGCTCCCACGTGGCAGCGAGGCACTGGGGCCGCACACCGCGCACTTGGCACCGACAGCCGCCGTTTCTGCAACAACTGTATAATATTTTCC